AGTCTCAAACTAAATTATTACTGCAGTTTGTTTAGCACCTAGGATTCTATGACTCTATGAATGGATCTGCCTTAGTTTGGACTAACCAACAGGATCCCAGCCATGGAGTTACTCATTCTTGGATAGACTCTTCAGCAGTGCCTCTAATGAATCCATTTTAACTGCCCTGGCTCAGTGCTAAGGAATCATGGGAATTGTATTTTTTTCTGAGACATTGAGCCTTCTCTGTCAGAGAGCTCTGGTGCCACAATAAGCTACAGTTCCCATGATTCCCTAACACTGAGCCAGGCAGTGCCTCAATTTAATGTGCACTATTTCTGGCAGTCTGCAAAGGCCCTAAGGTACAACTTTCCGCCTTTTAGTTGTTAACTGCCCTCGAGTCAATCTCAACTCATGGCAACCCTATGGATGAGCCATCGCCAAGACCCTCTGTCCTCCACTTCTCTGCTTAAATCCTGCAACCTCTTCATACCCAAAGTGACCTCCTTCATGGAGTCCATCAATCAATGTTTGATCCCAGGTATGGGAATTCTTTTACTATTTCTATTTCTACATTGTCTAGGTTGAACTTGTGAAGGTCCCCAGTGGTCATTATTTTTGTTTTCCTTATGCTCAACATTAAGCCTGCCTTTGCGCTTTCTTCTTGGATCTTCCTTAGTTGTTGTTCCAGGTCTGAGAGGTTTTCTGCTAGTATTATGGTGTCATCTGCATACCTTAGGTTGTTGATATTCTTTCCTCCTATTTTCACTCCTTCTTCTGAGTCCAAGCCTGCTTTTCTTATAATATGTTCTACATACACGTTCCCCCCTAACATTACAGAAATAGCCCCTGCGCAGGATTCCCCACTGCATAGTGGGACGATAAGCAGGCACACTGACAGAAACACAGTTGGTTGCACCATGATGGTATTCAGCAGAAGGATGGTGTGTAACTCCATGAGTACAAGTTTGCATTGCATAAACACAATATAGAATCTCAGCCTAAAATGCAAAGGAGCTATGCAAGGTGGTCAACAGATTTGGGAAGACTAGTATTGGAGCCTTCAAATAAAGTCCAGACTAAAATATTGGGCAGATTCACATGCACACACCAACATGGAAACCATCAGCTGCAAGTGCTGGTATCTGTGTTTTGCACATAAAGCTGCCTTTAAATGAGTCAGAGAGAGAAGGGAAGGAGGCAGGAACAGGAGAAATAGCTCTGCCCTCTCTCCCTTCCATAAGTTCTGCTCAAGGATGACTCATAGTGACTTTTATTTCTTATTGAGAAATATAGAGTGATAGAATCCTAGAGTTGGAAGAGAACTCAAGGGCCATTCAGTCCCATCTTCTGCTTTGCAGTAAGACACAAGCCTTCCCTATGACCATCCAACCTCTACTTAAAAGTCTCCAAAAGACGAAGTCCACCACTCTCCAAGCCAGCAGTGCCTTACACTGTCAAACAGCTCATCCCATCAAGTGCAATATCTTTTCCCAAATCCATTGCTCTGTGTCCTAGCTTCTGGAGTGTTACCCAAAAAGATGGGAGGTTTAGGGGTCCCCACCAACTGTATCAGCATCTCCTTTAAATGTTGGAGGAACTGTTTAGCTCAAAGCAAGCAATCAAGAAGTGGGTAACTTAGAGAATCTTATCACCTGTGTATACCAGTACTAACTACAGAGGGACTCCAAGTTTCATGAATAAAAAGAACGTTTTATTTAGAAATATGCAAGAGTGCAACCAAATGAAATACCATTTCAACTTGAAGAACCATACAAGGCTAATAGAAAGAGAGTTTTTAAATACTGGATAGCAGAAGCTTGGGGTTTAAAGAGGTCAGTATTTACCAGTCCTGCAGAGGGATGCACAGAAAAAGAGGGAGAGTGGCTCAGAAAGCACCTGAGGACAATACAGGAGGAGGAAGCTCTGGGCAGAGCCCTGATATGTGGCAGCTGTCTGCACAAAGTGGCCATGTGTGGAGTGGATTTTTATTTCCTGTTTTTCACCCTCGAGGGGTACTTAACATTCCCACATGACATAACAAAGGCTTTGATAGTTTTCCCATGGAATTAACAAAAGGGCCAATATCAGTTGATGGGTTTAACACTGGATTAACAAAACAGTGATTGAATCTGGAACAACCCCAACATATATGGGCAGGGAAGTTGGCTGGGAACACAGCAGGGGGATGCAGCAGATATGGTCTTAGTGCAATGGGATCATCTTTGTCTTCAGTGCAAGAAGAGATGCAAAAAGCCTGGGGGAGGATGGAGTGATTCTGTGTTTATGGTTGTATTCATCCACATGATCCACAGAAAACATCCCAGTTTGCACAGGTCATCATGACCTCTCCAAATATGCTGAAGCTAGATATTCAATATGGTCCACATATCTAGTGTGAGAAGTGTTGGGTATGCTAAAAGAAAATAAGTTTGCTCCATCCTCAATATGACATCCTCCGAATATTTAAACATGGCTACCATGTAACCTCTTAACCTTCTCTTCCGCAGGCCAAACATACCCAGCTCCCTAAACCACTCCTCATGGGGCTTTATGGTCTCCAGACCTTTCACCATTTTGGTCACCCTCCTCTGGAAACGCTCCAACTTGTCCACATCCTTTGTGAATTGTGATGCCCAGAACTGGATAAAGGATTCCAGGTAAGACATGACCAAAGCAAAATAGAGTGGGACTATGACTTCCCTCCATCTGGACACTATACTCCTATGGATGCAGCCTAGTATTCTTGGTTGCAGTAGGGAGAATTCAGGTGAAGGCAGCAAGCAAGGATGAGGAGGGGGGGTTAATTGTGGGTAGAGAGCATGACTCAGCCAACACAATGCCAATGCCGCAAAACCCACGCACATGTGTACACACACAACACATACACCAATTGCCTTGGGTGCAGAGTGGGGGGGGGCAAGACCTCTTTCTTGACAGAGATGTGGAAATTGCAGCAGAAAGGAGTAGTGTGTGTGTATGTGTGTATGTATGGGGGGGAGGAATAAAAGAGAAATGAGAGAAAACACTTTTTAACTCTCTAGCTTCTTTGTATGCCCCACACTGAATTAACTTAGGAAGGAAAAGAAAGTGGTGAAAAGAATGAAGCTCTTTATCTATCCCAACTCTTCAACTCACCATATTTTGGCATCTCTTCACACCCCAGAGAAACATGTTACAGGTTAATCCAAAATGCTTGGGACCAGACGTTTTGTGGAATTCAGAATATTTATTTTATTTTTTAAGATTTTGGAATATTTGAACATACATAATGATATATCTTGGAGGTAGGATCAAGTCTAAACATTTGAATTCATTTATGTTTTGTATGCACCTTATACACATAGCCTGAAGGTAATTTTATACCTAATATTTCTAATAATTTTGTGCATGAAACAAAGTTTGTGTACATGGAAAGCACTATCTCAGCTATTGCAATTTACAATTGCATGAATGCAGAATGCAGAAATTTAGCTATTCCTTTCTTGAGCTACACATTTGATTATGTATCCAGCTGCACAATGTTGCCATTCAGCACAAGCACTCTGTAACACAATCACTGCAGAACTCTGAAGGCAGACAGTTACACCATGCAAACCCAGCACAGAATCTTGGCCAGATTTTTTTTAATGACATTGAATGGCTTTCCACAATTGATAATGACCAGAATCATGTTAGTGACATATATGCATGTACGTGTGGCTTACATATTCATGTGTCTCTGTTTGGATGGGGTGCTAGTCTGTAGCATTTTTACAGAACATCCAAAACTACCTTCCACAGCTGTCAAGCTCCAGGATTGGCTGCTACTGGTAGTGATGCCGCTTACCAGTGGAGTAAGTGTCCTGTTTTGGTCTCAACAAATGAATAGAGCCTCAAAAAGAAAATGCAGGAAAATATAGAGCTGAGGCAAAAAACAGGAGAAGTGTGGCTCACCAGCAAGGAAGCTGAAGCAGCAAAGTCATTTCAGTCCAAGTCATACACAGTCCAGTGATAAATCCAGGAAATAGTTTGGAAGGAAATCCAAGAGTGCAGCCAACAAAGAACAAGGTCCAAAGCAGGAACAGGAACAGGGGACACGAATGTTGCTTCTACCAAGGAGTTTAGTCGTCAGCAACAGTGTCCTGAGGGAGATGTCAGACTATTTATGGTCTGGTAGCCTCCCACAGGTGCTCTTTGATTGCTGAGTGATTTAGATATAAACACTCAGAGCATTGCTGCACCTTCTTCTCTCAACGATGCTCTGCTGGGCCCAATGCCAGTATCTCTGTCTGTGTCTATGTGGCTGCTGGAGGATCTCACCATCTGTCTCTGGCACTAGCAGATGCTTCTGTCGCTCTGTCTGAGAATTCACTGTCAGTGGCAGAGTCTACACTGAGGTCTGGAAGCAGGGCATGACAGTAAGGGAAGAAGAGGGATATCTTGCCAAAAGCAAGGAAATTCTTTTTTGTGATCTGGAAACAATACAAAACACCAATTGTGGTTGCAAAAGCCTCACATTGCTGGGACATTCAGGCCTGGGGTGCCATGTCTTGTGCTGGCTACAGAAGGGGTCCACTCCACTACTATCTCTTTGGGGCTCCCAGCTGCTGAACAAAGCTGTTTGCTTGGTATGATTTATGCATATTCCTTTGTATTACACATCCAGTAAGCTATACAAAGGAATATGCATAAATCATGCCAAGCAAACACTTCTGTTCAGCCGCTGGGAGCCCCAAAGAGACAGCAGCGGAGTGGACCCCTTGTGTAGTCGGCAAGAGACACGGCACCCCAGGTCCGAATGTACTGAAGCTCCAACTTTGTGTCAATATCTCAGATGTTTTTACAGATTTCGTCAAGATCATGTCACTCACCCCTCCCAGGCCATCAGTCAGATGACTGTTTTCACAGTTGTTAGCCATGGGCCTGACACCACTCCAAAGTCTGTAATCTTTAGATTTCTCCTTACGCAGTTCCCGCTGCATGTTATGTCTCTGTCTGGGTAAACTGCGTAAGCTTCTATGCGTTTAGATTTCTCCCTGGGCTTTCCCAGCTACATGTTATATTTCACAGATGTCAACTAATAGCAATAGCTATTGAGCAGAAGCAAAGCAAAGCAAAGTTTTGCTCAGACAGATGAAACAGACCTGTTTTGGTGGCATGGAGGACAACCGTGACAAGCCACTGCACCTCCTCAAGATTACAATATGTCTTCCTGGGGTTTCCCATACAAGGGGAGGCCATTCAGATGATGTACCTCCAAAGAGAAGGGCTAGGAAGATGTACTCCATCCATGAGCATGCTCCTATTTTCTTCCCCTCCAAGCCAAGACTAGCCAATTCACCAATGTCCCAATTGCCTCCCTGGTCCCCAGGTCTTTTTTGTTACCAACGTTGCAGCCTGGGAATAGACCAATAAAGTACAGAGTGTAACCCACTGTAAGCCGTGAAGTATATAGAATTTGACAGCCCTTGTGAACCGGAAACTTATAAGGTGTCATATCTGATGCCTGCTACAATAATTGAGAGCTGTCAACAGTCCTAAGATGCACAGACTTTGCATTTCAAATGTCAATTAAGATTTCAACATGTCAGTAAAATTACATTTTTGAAATTTAACTTCCAGAACTTGTGATCAGGTTGGAGGCAAGGGGTCTGGGAGCTACAGACCAGGAAAAAAGTAACTGTTCCAAGAACTAGAGAGGACATTGGTTTTTAAAAATGTCACTAAGAAAGGACCTCAAGAGCCAACAATTATTATCAACTGAAAAAGGAGGAGTAAGGATGAACAGTCCCTGTGGAAATTGTGAAATCTTCTGGATGTTATTGGACTGCAAGACCCAAAAGTCCGTACCTAGAATTGGCAATGGTGAAGAATGCTGGGACTTGTAGTCCAACAGTATTTGGAGAAGCAATGCAGTTCCAACCTCTGCTCTAAACACAAATGGAAATGGAAATGTGAAACATGAATCCTACCTTTGGCCTGTGTAGTATAAGTCTCCTCATGCAGAGTTATGCATTGGTTCTGCTACATAACCTTTGTGTTGAATAGCAGTGTTACGCAACTGAATGTGGATGCAAATGCCCAATCAAACACACAAGCACATGTGCCCCTCTGCTCCCACAATCTTGAACTGGATGCAGGTGTTTGTTGTTGTTATTGTGTGCCTTCATGTCGTTTCCAAATCATGGGATTTTCTTAGTAAGTTTCTTATTGTTATTGCCATCCTCTGAGGCTGAGAGAATGTGACTTGCCCAAGATCACCCAGTGGGTTTACATGGCAAAGCTGAGATTCGAACCCTGGTCTCAAGAGTCATAGTCCAACACTCAAACCACTACTCCATGCTGGCTTTTTGCAGATGTTGTGTAGTGGGCAAAAACGTTCAATCATTTCCAGCTGCAATTGTAGACATGTGTAAGGCATGCAGAGTTAATACCATTTAAGGCATGTGAACCTTAGGTTGAATGGCAACATTATACAACCCAACACACAACCAAATACACAACTGAAAGAGTACTACCACCAGTTTCAGGAAGGGCAGATGGACATGTAATTGGCCAAGAATGTGCATGTTGCATGCGCAACTCTGTTTCTGCAACCTTGAACTCTATGCAGACGCTGTGCACCTTACAAAAATGCCCTGAGCCTTCCATAGGGGAACTCATGCAGGTGTAGTTCTGACCCACATTTCATTTCAGATCTGAGATGCATCTTCTTTTACTCCTGCATGGAAACTCAGACAGAATGTTGACTGTTTTAAAAATAGGAATCAGACTAGCGAGGCGTTGACAAGTTTAATTTACCACTCAGAAGAGGCAATTTCCCGCTGATGATGGCTCCGCAGGCATCTCAAAGACCCAACCACTCCCTTGACACAGCGGCAGGGCTAATGAATAGCTGGGCTTCTGACAGGCAAATGAGCACAACCTGTTCTTTCAATAAAATCTCAGTTTGTAAAAAGATGAGAGGAATGCTTGACAGACGCATGTGACATGTGCCTCAAACATGCACCCAGGGCATCGTAGTGTTCAAACGAATCTCGCTCACACAGAGGTTTAGGGAAGCAGAGACCGAGAGCCAACATGGTGCAGTGGATTGAGCGTTGGACTACAACCCTGGAGATTAGAGACTGGTTCCCACTATGATTTAAAGCGAATTGCAGATCGGGTTATATGACCGT